ATCGAAGAGGCAGCCAACTGCTGCAAAATAAGTAGACAATGAGCCAAAATGGCAGCCAAAAGCGAAACGAAAGCGACCGTAAAGCAAAAACCGAAAGGATAACGCTGCAAAAATGCGACAGTGCAAAAAAAATAAAGTGGCTAACATTAAAGAGGCGCACAGCAAAATGGCAAACGCCAAACGGCAAACGCCAAGGACAACACCCTAGGGGGCGTGGCCCTGGCTTTGGAAAGTAGACCCAAACGGAAGAGTTAATAATAAAAAGCTAAAGCCATCTAGAGATAGAGATAGAGATAGAGATAGAGATAGAGATAGAGATAGAGATAGAGATAGAGATAGAGATAGAGATAGAGATAGAGATAGAGATAGAGATAGAGATAGAGATAGAGATAGAGATAGAGATAGAGATAGAGATAGAGATAGAGATAGAGATAGAGATAGAGATAGAGATAGAGATAGAGATAGAGATAGAGATAGAGATAGAGATAGAGATAGAGATAGATAGAGATAGAGATAGAGATAGAGATAGAGATAGAGATAGAGATAGAGATAGAGATAGAGATAGAGATAGAGATAGAGATAGAGATAGAGATAGAGATAGAGATAGAGATAGAGATAGAGATAGAGATAGAGATAGAGATAGAGATAGAGATAGAGATAGAGATAGAGATAGAGATAGAGATAGAGATAGAGATAGAGATAGAGATAGAGATAGAGATAGAGATAGAGATAGAGATAGAGATAGAGATAGAGATAGAGATAGAGATAGAGATAGAGATAGAGATAGAGATAGAGATTATGATGTGTTATGTTGTTGTGTGTGTGGTGAATGGGAGGGATGTGTACGTGTGTTGCAAAGCTAATAGAGATGCTCAATTTGAAATGTTGATGCCGTTGATTATGTAGATGACACAGCAACAACAGCAGCAACAGCAGCAGCAACAGCAGCAGCAGCAGCAGTGGCAACAATGGCTACGACAGACGAAGCTGTTGAGGAGCAGCTCAAATCGTCTAACTAGGAATGCCAAGCACATTGTTAACCCCACTTCATTGAGAATGCTAATCGCACTCATTACACAAAATATGCATGTAATAATAGCAAAATCAGCAGCAGCAGCGAATGAGATACTGAGAGCAGCTCAAAGACGAGGCGACGATTTCTGTTGCCTTGTACACAGTGACAAATGGGGGGTACAAACCAGACTAACCTCAAGAACGTGCTTTGGACTTCACTAATTCCGTATTGCGTTGTTGTGACTATAATAAGATAATATGATTGCAGGTCGAGAAATATAAGTTATGAGGGATAGATTCTATCGGGAATACGTCGTAGCTACCTTAAATTCTAAAAGTTTTAGAAATTTATGCTTAATAATTCTTCGCAAGCTGAAAGCGAAAATTCAAAATTCGACCCATTCAATCTTTGGGCGTATTGGAGAGTATCCAAAATACTAATTGTATAGCCAAGCCCTATCAACAACAATATTCATATCAGTGCGATAATATCTTTCACCCAATAGACTGGGATTTTCAGATAGTTTTCTCTAGAGCCTGGTCTAATAGAGATAAAAGCGTCAACTTCTTAGTTGATAACCAATTAATCAATCAGTAAAAACTGGTTTATGAATATAGATCAAGCTAGATGAAACCTTGTCCACCAAATTGCTTGGCCGAAGGCAGCGACGATTCATCAAATATTAAGCGTTGCAAGCTGCATGAATAAATTGCTATGCCCAACTCGACGCGGCGCGACGTTTCATGGCCTACAATAAAAGCAGCACCAGCTACAACAGCAACAACAATATGATGGCACATACATTGTTGCTGTTGGGGTCGTGCCTCTTTGACTGGCATGCCGCGAGCGCCGCCTAATGAGCGCTCATAATGAGCGGCGACGTAAGGAGAGGGGCCAAAGGTTGAGAGGATGTCGGGTGGAAGGTTGTGGGCCAAACCCTGGTGACTGGGGAGCTGTCATGACTGGTGAATGACTGGCAGTGGCTAGAGGCCCTATGTATGACTGGGTGGTTGAGAAGCTTTCATTGTTGCGCTGCTAACGGAAGTTGTCAGCCGCCGTTGACGAAAAATCGAATTTTTCGCTTTCTCAATTTTCGTCTTTTTTCGTTTCGGTCTTTTTTTCGCAATGCATTTAATATGAAAAGACAACAGGCGAGGATAGGAACAGGTCAGGATAAGCGAAAGCGAAGCCTTGCGCTGTCAACCAAGCAGCGAGCAGTGAGGCAGCAGCCTCTGAGGCAGCCAGTCAGGCACGCAAGGACAATGCCCAAGCGAGCGTCTTAAACGCTGTCAACGTTGGCTTTTTGCTTCAAGTGCCAGGCAAGCACGTTGAGCAGTATGGGAATGAGGCTGACGAACGAGGACATGAACGTGAACGTGAACGTGAACGTGTTCGTGAGCGAGAATGGGAATGACAATGCGAACAAGAATGAGCTGGAAGATGAGCTTAAGAATGGGAATAGCAGCTAGGAACAGGAGGAGGGGTTACATAGGCAAGCAAAAGGTGCCCCCGGGCACAGTTTCTTCTCACATACACATAGTCTCCTCCCCGAGCCTCCTTCTGTGATATTTTTCTTTTTGGGCAACGGCTGCTTAAATTGACACTTGGCATCTTTTGTTGCATCAAAAACGTGTCGTCGTAGCCATAGTCTGCTCGAGCTCGCATCATGCCACCTGGCTGGCTGGCTGGCTGCTTGGCTGGTTGGCTTGCTGACTGGCTGCAGGCCACTATGGGGCTTCTTTTAAATATTTGACAGCTCGTGGAGGGCCGCTGCTTGACTGGGCTGGCGGCGGGGTCGCGTTTCCCGACGACGACGCCACGTTGCATGCATGACATTTTCCCAAATTACTTCCGAAATGCTTTTCACGCCTCCAATGCTCATTTCACAGTCAACTTTAAAGACTCTGCTCGCTATACAATAATTAAATTGTAAAACTGTCTGGCAATGCCGACAGTTGATCGGCTCCTTAACTTGCAATTAAGATCAAGTTCAGAGTGTTCGCACTCGATTTTCGGGTAGCGCCTCCCACTTACTACTGCTCCGCGTTGACGCATACCTGTGAACCGTAAATCTTGTGTAAATTATGTGAAATCCAGCCAAATGAACATTTGATACGGCCAGGCTTGGGGCGAACTGCCATATTCATCTAGGCTATATCAAAGGGCAATTAAGTCGAGGGATTAGAGCTAGCTCAGCCTCGTATTATAAATTAAATTATGCGTAACAATGGCTAAGGTAGAATGACGGCCCGAACGTCATTGGCAAGCGGGCGACAGAACAAACCTTGTATAAGCCCAAAAGCGCCTTTGAGCCACGTAAACAAATTGAAATTCACAAAATGTTTATGAGCCTGGAACAATTTTTCATTTTTTTAATATATTTATTCTTATATTTTTAATTTGTTTTTTTTTTCCTCTTTCTCACTCCTTGTCAGATATATATATATATATTGTTGTGTTGTGCTGTCGCCAAACAATTCAATTTGTGCCCAAAAGAAACGCAAAACGCAAAATGATAATTAAAATGAATTTGCATAAGAAAATGTTGAACAACTAGACGAACAAAGGACACGAAGGAAAGATTATTTGCCTCAAACGAAATTTGAAATACCCTTAGCTATACTATAATCATAGAGTGAGTGCTAACAAAAATTTAAAATTCCAAAGACTAGTTAGCATAAAGACAGCTTAGACAGGCAGCCCCGCCTACAACACAGGCCAACAAGGTGTGATGAAATTGCATAGCCAAGAATTAGTCTGGAATGGTCTCTTGACCCACTGAAATTGGAATATTCCTATTTTCAAGAAATACTTTTATGAAAGTGGCATCTGACAGCTGGCAAAAGTCTTTCTAAATTTTTAAAAACATATTATTTTTTGCTTGTTGAGTTGAGTTCAGTGAGTGGCTTTCGGTCTCACATACGCTCAGTGTAGCTTATTAGGCTCTTTTGGGAATTCTCGATATTTTAAGGGCTTATTCATTCTGTTTACTCAATCAGCCAAAATGTTACGCATTTGCTGACGGTATCCTTGGCAAAGAGGGTATAAAGACGCAAAGTCAACCAAGTGAAGCCCGAAAGCAGCTCATTCGAAATTTTCACAAACTTTTGCAGCAACAACTTAAAAAGAGAAAACTGAATAAGCAACAATACAGAAAGTTCCTCAGCTACTCTGTAAGAGTCGATAAGCAGATAAGGCTGTGGCAGCCCTAGCTGTAGTAGATGATGTGCAGTGTAAGCAGGGTATTGAGCAGTTGGCCATAATCGGGTTTTGGCCGTTTTTGAATTTCATAGTGACCTTTTATGCCAAATCTCGTTAATTCTTGTGAAATTTGTTCGTCTCGAACAACAATAAAAGAAATGCTTTTAATAACAAACCACAATTATATAACACTAATTAATTTGCTTTCTTCTGCTTTTCAGCGAAAGGAAAAAGTTGATGCCAGAAGGGGCAAATAGAGAATGAGCCAAAGGCCGGGACAACGGGCATCAACAGGAGAAGCAGCAACAGCACAGGCAACACTTGGCCAACCAAAAGCGAAAACCCATTTAAAGAATTTTAATCGAATACTGCCAAGAAACAAATATATGTATTTACAAGATATATATACACAGAATAAATAAAAACAAAGTATAATATATAAACATATAAATATATATGTTATAGAGAATTAATAGATGTATATATATATATATATACAAGCAAATGAATATGCAACTAATTTAATTGAAGATTTATTAACGACAACTGCAAGCAACGACAGCAAGAGCAATGCACTATGGGCATAAACCTAGTAAATCGTTGAAAATAATGTGACAATGGAAAATGAGTTCTAATAAACATGTAAATAAATGCTGCCAAATAAACAACAACAACAACCACAACTGAAATGCATGTAACGCACAAAAACAACAACCAAATAGAGAAAGAGAAGCTTGCAACAAAGAGCAAATGCAACAACAACAACAACAACAGCAACAAGCACAGACACAACAACGGATATAACAAGCAACATTATTAACCAGCTCTGTTCACAACTGTAACAGCAGCAACAACAAGGTCGCTGCCACGCCCAAAACGCCCTCGACACCAGCGCGCAGAGGGAAATGAGATGAAGTGGTTTCAAGTGACCATAGATATGATTCTTGTGCTTTCATTTATATCAAGTAAGTGCCGCATACTCGTATTTATTAACTACTCTCCCCAGCTCGCCCCTCCGCGTCAGGCTTTGCGCTTGCCTCTGCCTCTGCCTCCGCCATCTCTCATCGTCTCTTGACGATGGCAACAGTGAGAGCAAGCCTCGACCCAATCCCAAAAATTCGACCCCCTCGAATGCCTCGAGTGCTAACTCAAACAAAGCCAAAGGCAAAGCACTCGAAACACACAAAACAATCGCCTGACATTGCTAGCAACATTCTCGTTTCATTTCGGGGGCTGTCCATTCAGCCACTCAAGTGATTCAAGCTGGGATCTTCACGGCGCACAGGGCGGGACGAAGCGGGCGGCATAGGGGTACTCGCTTTCACTGGGCTTTTATGCTAGCAACCTGAAGCTGGACTACTAACCTACAAAGCAAGTCAAAACTCATAGTCGGGCGCAAGCGACTGTATAATACCCGCTCACGACTCAAAATCATTTTAATTTACCTGCAGCACTTGATTTATTCATTTTCAATTTACCTTAAGAGTATCTGAAAGACTGAAACACTTGATAACTCGACGATTCATTGATTCATTGATTCATTGACGCCGAAAGGAAGCAAATATACTCGTCACACTTCTTCAAGGAATCAGCTAACTACTACCTGCCTTTAGGCTTTGGCTTGTGCAGTTGCTACTGCACTGCTGACTGCAAAGCCAGCTCTTGATTGAAATGGGAACCATCAGTCGAAACAATTATTTTGTCTCTTGCCATATTTAAGCCTGTCGCTTGTTATTTAAGCTGATGACAACTTCAATTACCAATTGAGTGTGGCCAAAAGTATACAACTTATATTATAGACATTATAAGCAGAACAGTCAGCCTAATGCCAATAGAAGTTTCTATTTAGGCAGATCCACAAAAGACTGTTTCACCTAACACATGTCTCTCCCTCTCTCTCTTTCTCTCTACACATATCGTGCTTTCTCTTGTAATATAACATAATCAATGTTAGACTCGTTTTCTTGATATCTTGACTAAATAAGTTGAATATACATATTTAGTCATAGGATTATATCTTAGATAAAAACTAATAAGCAAAATCTCTTTTTTCGAGACTTGAGACCTTTTTGCTAACTTGTCTTTAGCACCAATTCTAATCGAATAGTTATGCCAATTAAACGTATTGGCATTGTTTTTATTGTTTATCTCATGTTCAGCAAGGCATTTTGATATATGTAACATAATTCATGATTCATGACAAATTAGTCTGTGCTTCCATATGTCTACAATATGTGTTCAATGCAAATAAATAATATCAGCAGGCAATAAGAAGCGTGGATAGTATTTAAAAGCTTCTTTATCAGTGAAAGATTTCCCTTATAAATGGGCCATATATAATGTAATTTCGGGGTAATGTATTGAGTCAATACAAAATGGACTCTTACTAAGATACCTAAGATCACATATCAAATATCTTTTTATAATATCTCGAAATGCCATCAATAACCCAAAGGCTGATGGGAAGGGTCAGGAAGGAGAAAACAAATCTCCGGCTATGATAATCATTCTTTTATAAACATGAATGCGCATACGAGTACCCGTTTCTCTTTGCTCTGGTCGATTGGTATTCGCCGCACGCACACGCGCTTATTCACATATTATTTGGCACTTGAGATGGACGAAGCGAGGCAGTCGAGTGGATGCAGGGCATTGGCGGATTAGGAGACATGTTGTCTGGACGCATGTGAAATGGAAAGTGCAAATGAAATCGAGTTTTGGGCGTTGGACGTGGCCAACTAGCAGCTAAAAGCTAACAGCTGACAGCTCGCAGCTCGCAGCAGCAAGGACAATGCCAGCTAACAGCAGGATATGCAGACAGACGACGGGCAGACACAAACGACACGCCTCCGACTCGATTTTGGACGGTCTCCGACTCGGACTCGGACTCGAACACTGAGTCGGACTCGGTGCTGGACTCGGACTCGGACTCGGACTCGGACTCGGACTCGGACTTGGTCGCTTTGCCAGCATCAGTATTTAGCAGCATCCATGAAATGAGGCCGCAGCTGTGCCAAGCTAACATTTTGTCTGCCTGCACAGACGGAAACTAGCACAAGGCAGCCACGCCCACGCCCACACACTCACACACACACACACAGAGAGCCAACCACCCACACACACGCACACACTGACCCCTTGCTTGCCCCGGCTCAGTTGTCGGACGACGCCTCCTACTCTGTGCGTGTCGTCGATTTGATTTTTATTTTTTTTATGAGCGTCGCGTCGCCAAGGCCGGCATCGCAGTTGACACCGCAGGCGCTGCTGGCGTCGCTGCCAACGTTGCGCTTAATGGCGCGGCAACATTTGTGGCTAGCTGCAAGAGGACAACTGAAACCGAATCTGCAACCGACACCAAAACCCAAACCCAAGCCCAAACCTAAAACTGAAACTGAAACAGAAACAGAAACAGAAACAGAAGCTGGACTGCAATTAAAGGCAATCCCTTGCCTTGAGGCCAGCCAAAAAGGAGCCGAAGGACCTGAAACTAACGCGAATTTATGTACATGCGCTTGAGCTTACGTATGCCTGTTTGTTCTCGCATCGTAAATAAAAATGCAAAAGTCTTCATAAATCTTGAATTCGTGCGATTGCTCTCGTGGTTATACCGCTTTGTTTTTGCCCGAAACTGAAATGGGAAATGCCGTTGATTCGTTTCGTTGCATATACAAATATATATATTATATGTATACATATATATATGCAAAGCAGTTAAAAAAACTACGCTGCTGAATGTGCAAATGTCTTGAATAAAGTCAAGTTCGACCTTTCGATTCGTAACTCTTCAAGAGATACTTTCCAGTCTCTCTTTAAATGTTCTGCTCCAATCCGTAGTCAAGAAATTCATAGCTTTCCATATCCTGAGCTCATGTGGCCATTTCTTTCAATCACAAACTCTGACTAAGCCTAGCTCACTGTTGAGCCCGAAGAATGGGCCTTGTTGCTCTCGGTAAGCAATCAGACTGTTTATCAGTCCATCAATCAGTCAGTCTGCACGTGTCGTACAGTTATAGTCACAAATTTACAGATTTTGAAACTGATAGACTGATGAAGTTGACTCATTTTTAGTTTCGAACATATGTGTGAACAGGGCATTTTACATTCGTGTTGCTTTGTTGTTGTTGCTGTTGCTGCTGCTGCTGCTGCTGCTGCTGCTGGTATAATATTAGCATTCGAAGCACTGCGTTTCACACACTTTGGCACATTTGGTGCGGCTTGAACAAGCAACGAATTTCTTTCGATTTAAAAAGCCATAAATTCATGAAACACATGAAAAGCTCCTCTCGGCTTCGCATCTTCGGGCTGGCAATCGAAATCTCAGCAGCAGCGCCCAAAGGCAGGCAACACAATTTTTCATGTCATCATTTCGGCTGCCCAGCAGACACCGCAGCAAACATAAATAAATAGCACTAAAGCACGCCATACATAGAGAAAGTAAGAGAGAGAGAGACAGAGAGAGAGAGAGAGAGAGGAGAAGAGAGAGAGAGCAGGACGCATCAATAGCTGCTGCAAATGGCTGCTAATGCAGCAGCAACAACTGCAGCAATTTTTACAACGTCGCCGTCAGTTGCCACGCTCCAGTTTCCGCTTTGTGGCCATTAAACGAGCACACACACATACACACACACACATACTCACAGACACATATATTCACTTGTAGGGAGTGCACTTTCTAGGTGAGGAGATGCAAGTAACGCCCTTAACAGCATCAGCATCAGCATCAGCATCAGCAGCCAGACGACAACTCAGAGCAATTTTCCACTGCCGCTGGCGACGTTTTTCTTCTTCGTTTTTTTTCTTGCTTTCAATGGCTACACTGCACAACAAGGGTTTCTTACTTATGCTTTGACATATCACAGACAAAAGTCAGTTAGAAGCCAAAGCCCATAATGAAACGGAACTTAGATAAGAGCCAAAGATCGGAATCAGCTCCCCAGCAGAAACACAACAAGGAGCCTTATTCAATTTGTTGTGTTAGCTTAATTATTTCTTATCAACAACAACAAAGTCATGCACACAGAAAAGGTAAGCAGGCTGTCTGTGTAGCCGTAAACCTGCCGGATCAACAGCTATCGAAACAGCAGATCGAAACGTCATCGCCTTGATTCTCTTGCGCAACTGTAACCAGTTGAGAATTCTATAGTTAGAGAGCGTCAAAGTGTGTGAGCCCAGCGTTCCCTTGCTGAAGGTGCGTCTCTCTCATGGAAGGGGACTCTGCACAGTGTAGCAAAGTTTACCTTTCCTTCGAAACAGTTTATTGCATCGCTCATACATGACTTCAAGACTGCTTAGCTGGCAACAGCTTAAAAATAAAAATGTAAATTTATTAAGAACATTTTTAATTTTAATTGGTGTTATTTAGTATTACATTGTAAATATGGAACATGGATAGAATAAGGCTTTCAGATAAACCGCAATCTATAAAGTCAATAGATAGATGCAGTCGAGTCATGTCTTAGATCCGTCTTTGGATCGTGAGTGCCACTTAATGTGGAACAAGTAATATGACTGTAAGAAGGACTTTTGGCTCATCATTGGATTTACCCTAAGTGGCACAGGAGTGAATTGTAGGGTATGTTCGATTCGTATACTTTGTCATTCGTTGTTGCTGTATTTCATTTCTTCTCTGTCCAAGTGGGTGTGGGTGGGGAGGTGTGTAGCTGGCTGTGGGATGTGGTGTAATTTGCGCACTCAGCTCCCCCTCGTCCATTTGTAATGCAATTGCCACGCCCTGCGGCTGCACTTACGTGGCGCTAATATAGAAAAGTGAAGTGCTACGACGACGCCACTTGCAAAATGGGGCGTGCCACAGACTCGCACGGCCAAAAGCAGCAACACGCCCACTTTTGTAGCACAGTGGCAGTGCGACAAATTCATTGCAGTCGCTGTCGCAGTCGTCGTCGCTGCCACAGTCGCAGTCGCAGTCGCAGTCGAAGTCCAAGTCGAAGTCTGCAATGTCTGCAGC